TCTACAGAGCTGTGTTCGGAGGTGGGTGGGTGAAAAGGAAGTCCATATTTTTTTGTGCGATGAAGTGGCCAGGCGGAAAAGCAGGGGGCTGACGTGTACCAGCAGGAACAAGGCAGCCTCCAGCCATTGCTGGCAGGCTTGCAGCAGCAAGTCCATAAACTGCACCAGAAAGTGCAGGGCGAGCTCTGGCTCCATGTTGCCACCTGCGGCGGCATCCCCAAAGGGAAGCACCGACACAGATGGGCGCAGAGAAAAACGCTTTGCTGTCCCTCGGCGAGGTAGGCAAGCAAGCGGAAAAACTGAGAACCGGCTGTCCAGAGGGATCCCTTTAAGCACGAGCCTCAGATAGCCTCAGACAGCAGCCACACAAAGCAACTACTGACCTGATGCCCTGCCGGAACTGGTTTCAGCTGCCCTTAAATGCGCCCCTGCGTCCAATCAGTGTGGACGTGCTAGTTCGAATTAGGAAAATGCTAATTCGAACTAGTTTTTAGTTCTAAATGCGCTAGTTCGAATTAGCTTAGTTCGAATTAGCGCTGTAGTGTAGACATACCCTCTGGGAAGAATGCAGTTTAGAGCAAGTTACAAGCAAAGGGGCTGAGAGTTACAAAGATTACAAAGTTGCAGCTTACACTCAGTAAGTTTCTGAACTTATAAAGCAATGTTGCTGACAGTTACAACGTTGCAAGGTTTTACAAAAATTACAATGAGTTGCAGAGTTTAAAAATTAATGCAGTTACAAAGCTTCAGAGAATCGTTTACAAATCAACAGTAATGAAGTGACTTAGAAGACAGTTGTTCCCCCCGCACCTCACAATGCAGTCAGCAGGAGGTTTTTGTCAGTTTCTAAGTCACGTGTTGTCAGGCCCTTACAGTTTAGTGTATTTCCAGAAAATGCATGTGTAAAATCAAGTAATAGCTCAGGCGGAGGATTTTTATGCAGCAGGACTGGTTGCCAGCGGAACTGCCCACAATGCGGCACTGTGGCTGAGGGCTGGGGGAGGAGTTAGGGGCAAAGGGCCACTTACCTGTTTCTATGGCTGGTAAGGTGATGAGCCCGGGCCCCAACTGGCCACTGTCTTACTGGTGCAGCTGCCCCCAGTGGTCACTCAGCAGTATAGCTGTCCTCCAATCAGCTCCATCCCTTTCCTTGTTATGGAAAACAGTCCCACCCCGGCACTTCCCATTTTCCTGGCACAACTAAACCCTGACCTTTCTTTAAGTTAGAATAAGAGGAAGCTGCGTACCAAATTTGGTAGTCCTAGCTCTTACTGTTTAGGAGGATTTTTTTTAAACAAACAGTCTCATGGACAGACAGACTGACACCCACACATTTCTAAAATATATAGATAGATTTGTGGTTAGGATGAAAATTTTAAAACTTTAGGGAAAACTTTCGTGGCTTAGGACAGTTTTTCTATGTAAATACCAGTCTACAATTTATTTCAATTACTAGTGAATTTTTAAAAGATTTCTTTTTAAAACAACTGGAATCTATCACTTTTAAATTTAAATTTTAAGTTATAAATGACCAAGGCAAATGATACTAATATTAGTATAAACCCTGCACATTTGTGTGTGCTAAGATTTTATTTTCTGTCTTGATTTCTTAGCTAGTGTAATGTAACAACTTACAACATTCCTTTGCTGTTATTACTGTTGGACTTCGTGCAATGCCATTGAGGCTTTTTCAGCTATTAACCTTCCCTGGGGCTCTTTTCAGACAAAATGTTATGCATTGGGTCTCATATGAGCATAAACCTCTAGAACAGCAGTGTCTACGTTGCCAACTTGGCAGCAAGTTTTCTCACTAATAAAAGAGGTTACTTCAGATGGAGATCCCACATGTGCCTGAGCTGCTTTTCGTAGGAGTTTGGAGTGATCCTGCGTTTCCTTCTAAATGCATTCAGAAGAGGTGTGGGTTTGCCCTCATAATTGCCCAAAGAATGATATTACATCACTGGAAATTGGTTTCCAAGAGTGAAGAAAAATGCTAAGATTTGTTAAAGCATTTAGGAAACGTCGAGAAGCAAAATGTTTCGC